GCTGATTCTATGATTCTATGATTCTGAGCTCCGCTCAGTACCCTCTCTCCAGACCTTAACCTCCATTTTATTGTCACTGGTTGCAAGGCAGATGTGTTCCTTTCATAGAGACAGGAGACAATGTGACAGTTTTCCTGTCCCCAGCTCTCCTGCCACACTAGTGATGAGCACACAAAGTGGGGATAAGCATAAACTGCTGCTCTCACCCCCTGCAAACCAGCAAACTCACTGGTGGGTGAGAGCTGAGCAAAGGGGCAGGGTGTACCCATCACACCTAACAGTTGCTGCCTAATGCCCATGTCTGCTGTGCTGCAAACACCTCCTGGGCAGCACCAAACCCACCTTTTGGCAGATGGACAGCAGGGTTCATCTCATGGTGTGACAATGCCCTGAAACACCCCAATATCCGAAGTCATAGCCAGTTAGGCTGATCCACATTTCCTCTCCTCATGGGAACATGGAAGAGGACAGATGGTGCCCTAGCAAGCTGGACCTCACTGGGGGTAGCTGGAATAGTTGGCTTTTATTGCAGCATGGCCATCACTGAAATAAACCAGCCTATGTGATGTCAAGTGAAGGACCAGCAAGAGCAGAACTGCTGTGTCACTGGCAGAGTAATGTACCAGTTACACAACAGGGAACGGGGAAGGTCTCAATGTTGAAACACTCTGGGATATTTTGGACCATAGCACAGAACAAGTGAGCACAACCCACCAGAAGCAGACCCTGTATTCTCTGTTCCCCCCCAGTGTTAACATGGATGATGGGCTCTCAGCAACTTGCCAGTCTGGTACTAGCTGAGCAATGCTAGGCCAGGGACAACGACACCAAATGCACACCAATATTTACTTGTGCTATCTACATGTGCAGTATCCTGCAGTGGCAGTTACTGCATTCTTCAGCACTGTCTCAGCTCCAGACCTCTTGAACAAAATTTGGGTGGTGTTTCCAAAAAGTGTACTCCCCAGGGCAATGAAGTAGGACTGGGTGAGACTGGCAGACCTACTTTCCTTCATGATCTGAGCTAGAAATTGTGCTGAGGCCCTAGAAGTGATACCAGGCGCAGGTGTCTTCGTGTGCATACCTGTAATTCTGCCATTATTTTATCTCCTTCCTCTTCCTCTTCATCTTTTGCAGCTGATGCTACAGCATGCCCTGTGCTCCGAGACAGTGCCTGATCCTCTTTAGGGGCTTTGGATTGTGCTATTTGCCCAGCATCTTCACTGCATTCCTACAAGGGGATAAGAAAGCACAGACAAATGACATAATTGAGTCCTCCTGATGCAAAGCAAACTCTGAAAATTAAACATTACTGCAATTCCCCTGTTGCAAGGTCCCTCTAATTCATCAGTTCAAAAGCAACCAGTATTGCTGATATGATTGCATGTTCACAGATTAAAAAGCTTCCTAACCTGGACTTCACTTCCTTCAGAGAACAGAACAGATGGGAAAAGGAAGCCCAAAGAAACTAATGCGCAATGTTTCTGTAAAAACGCACTCAAATCTGAGCTGATCTTCCCCATCTGTGTAAGGCATGATTTTTTTTTATTTTTAATCTTCTTACCACTCTAAATGAAAGCAGCCTGTGACTTGCCTTCTACATTACTAGGAGATAAGAGCAGCGAGACTCCTGTAAACAGAACTGATTAAACTGTTCATTTAGCCTAAGAGAAGTGTATCCTGGTAAGCACTTTAAATAGCTCTCAGGGACATAGCTCTCTCTCAACTTATTTTGTGGGTTTTACAGACACAGCCCAAGCCTGTGTCTTGTCTCTGTACCAACCACTCATCAACAGACTGACTGCCTAGAGTCTGAATCATCAAACCTTGACAGCAGCAGCCTCTTTTCTGGCTGTATAGACGACATCTCCTGATCTCGTTGTGGTTAGTCCCGACCCTGGCAGGTAACTGCGCCGTGGAGGTGGAGGAGGTGGAGACTTAGTCACCTTGTCATTATCCTGTTCTCCATCAGGAACCTCTTCTGCAAGTAAACAGAGCAGCACAAAGTGAGCATAGGTGAAGGAGACAGGAACAGTATTTGCATCCCTGACTCAACTGGAAAGGAAAAAAATAATCTTAAGAGGTCCTGATGCTGAATAGATATGAATAGAAATACATTTGGAATTCAGGTGGAACTGACTCGAATGAAAGTAAATAGTGCTGTGCTTGCACTGAGAAACTGGGTCCCTTCACCCAGAAATTTTCATCAAAATTCCTGCCCTCCATGCCACTGTAGCTGGGTTTCAGCCCTTGCTGTACAAGTGGGACAGCAGACCATGTATTTGTAAAGAAGCCTGCAGGGTGCAGGTTTGGCTGGGTGCCTGGTTACAGACAGTGCCCCACAGTCTCCCCTGAAAGCATGGCCATGGCCATGGATGCTGGTGAGACACCTGCCTGGAGCCTTCTCATTGTTCTCAGCAATTCTGAAGCAACCAGCACACATTTCTGCTCAGTCTGGGACATTCTGCTGGCAAGGTGCTAGGAGAGGAACTAAAGAGTTTTATCCGTTTTATAGCTGAATACAACTAGCAAAGTTAAAAGTCTGAGAGTGAAAATGTCAATGGTACTCTAGAGATGCCACCTTTGCAGTTCAATGAGTCCTCTCACATCTGAGCAGGGCAGAGGACCACCAGAGGCAACTGCACTTGCTCCTCTTCTAGGAGAGCATTTATTTCCACTTTACTTACCACTAACTATTCCAGGAATGCACAGTTCTGCCTTTGAATTATCATATAAGATCACTATACATACATATATCGTGCTAACCCAATAAGATTCAAATACCAAAGCAGAGTATTTGAAGGCTGAGCTGAGCCAGCCTTTGCTTTCTGAAGACAGTCTTCCAACACCAGTTTCTCAAACTGGCATTCCCCCTGATGGTGTTTCCCCACCAGCTGCCACTTCCTCCTCCCCACTATCACTGGACAGCAATTTTTCCAGAAGCAGCACTACCCTGATCCTGACCTGTCCCTATGTGTTTCTGATCACAACATACATGGCAAGAGTCACCATTTTCACACTGCTGTTTACAAGGTTTGTTTTCAAGAGCAAAAGAACGACCTTTCTGCAGCTACTTAGAGTTATGTAAACAGCTGGAATAAATATAATCCAGAAAGATAAAACCTCCTGCTTTTGGGATTACCCAGATGTTTAGGGCTAAGTGTTCCCTCTGGGCAAATTATTGTGTAATGGCCCACTCCTGGGGCTGTGTCAGGCTCCTCCAACACTCCAGCTGGCCCCCAGGGCTGGAAGAGGCCCTGTCTGATCTGGTCTCATCTTTGCTCCCCTCTTAGCTCAAATGTTCTTGAAGCTGTTTAAGCTTGAAGAAATGTTCTGTTGTATTATCTCCCTCCCTGGTTATCTGGCACTCACTTGCAGGATTGCAAGGAGAGTGAATTTCCAGATGCACTTTGCATTAGACCACTTCTTTGGTCAATACACACCACTCAGTTTGTAATTACATCAGATGTAGTTTTACCAGCTCTGAGTAAGACCTGCCACTGTAAAACTGGAGAAATTCTCTGCAAGTCCCTACTCCTTTTAATGGGCTCAACCCATTACCCTCAAACTGGTAGTGGCTCTGACTGCAAGAATGCCCAAGTTTTTCTCCTGGTTAATGAGGGCAAGGCTGGGTAAGAGAGACAAAAGGCACTAAGAGAGCACGATTCCTACCATCTCATTCACATCTGTGAGACATCCATCCATCTCCATCTTCAAAATGTGAGATAAAAAGGAGGAACACAGGAAAGAGAAATTGTCAGTGTGTGGCAGGTGCATAGGTTATCAAAGGCTAATCCTCCTCACATCCCTTAGCTGGAGTTATTAAGGAGAGCTCGTGATGGGGTTTGCTCACAGTCAGCACAGTGGCACTGGGCAAGACATAAAACTTCAAAGCTGGATTTCTATGTTATTTATTAAACAACTGTATTTCCCCAGTATAAATGGGAAGGAAAAAAAAAAACTTTAGAGGAATAAAATCAAGGGAAAGACCTTACTCTGACACTTCTCCCCCTCTATGGTTGAGTTCTTCTAGCATATTTAAAGGAGGACTAAATGAACAAGTACAACTCACTGAATCTGAGACCACCCATAAACAAACCCTACACTTTATGGAACCTTCTTTGGTGCCAAAGGGCTCAGCACTTCTCTGAACAAAATGGGAGTTGTTCCTCTCCAGCTGTTTCACTAAGCTGCAGCATTCTTCAACAGGCACAAACAGACAGGAATTAATTTCTCCCACCATATAGATTTGTACTTGTACCAAAATAAATCCAAAAGATTTCAAAATAATAATGCCTGCCTTGAGGCATGCTCTGCAGTCAGATAAGCAAACTGCCTTTAATGGAAGCTACTGATCTCTCAGCATTTGCAAAAATCAGGGCATTCTCACATAAGAAGGCACAAAGAGAGCTGAAGGAACCCAATTTCTAATGGACATGCTAGAAACATTCTCCAGATTTTTCACAGAACAATCTTGATACAAAGATGAGTTATAGTCAAGACATTAAAGAAATATTTACAGAGTCATCTGAAAAACTCTGTAATTTTACTTTACTTTGTGCTTTTCAGAGAAAAAAAAAAGTTACTTAACTGGGAGAGGTTCTGTGTGGAGAATGGCTGAGACAACATAATCTGGCAGCATGATCAATCTCGGTTCTGCAGTCGGGCCAACAGAGGGCTCTGATAATTTATGGCCAAAATTTCTTTTGTATTATATTGGTAGATGGGTGGTCTGTCTTTTCTTATGTAGCTCAGTTTTCTAGTCTACAGCAAACTGGTAGTGAACTTTTTATCCTGAATCACAGAAGACCTGAGTGGCATGTGAGATATTTAATCAGATATTAAGGAAAAGTTCTGCTGTTCCTGTATTTCTGTTACTATTACAGGATTCATTATGCACAACAGAAGGCAAATGTCTCAATCTCATCGAATTTCTTCTTAAATCTGCTGGCTGCACACTGTGCAAAATTGTATTCTAGAAGTGGATTAGTTAACTATGCGAGTTACAAAACTTCTCAGTTACTGTGCTCTGCACTTTTTAAGATGTCACAGCTCACTGCACCCATATGGTACTTATTTTCACTGACTTTTTCTATTTATGCCACACATTATACAAGCTAATTGTGTTGATAGCCAGTAACCTCACTGAACAGTGCCAGAATTCCAAAATTATTTTACAAGGTTCAACAAAATTATTTTCAACATGCATGTTGTGAAACATCCAAGAAGCCACAACTTGGCAATGTCAAAGGTGTGTCCAGAACAAAATGCTGGATCTGAAAACACTCCTCCAAAATTCTATATGAATTTGTCTACACAAGCCCCAAGGCATTGTTTTTCAGCTATTTACAACCTTGGCATGCCAACACCATGAGTGCAGCATGAAGCTCTGACCTCCACAGCTCCAGAAGGACACAGTGGAGTTAGAGAAGAGCAACTGAATCTAGCCTGGGGAGGGAGCAGCTGGCCTGAGTGGAGGGACCAGAAAGGCTATGAATTCACAGTCTGAAGTCCATAGGGCAGGCTGAGAGCTCTAAGGATATGATGAAGTTTTATCCACTGCCTTCATGATTTTACAAAGGGAATGCAGAGCTGTCGCTTGCCAAATTGCAGAGGATTAGAACTATGGGGGAATCAGTGAAACTGGTATGAGATCAGTTTAAAACAGATGTAGGAAAGTTCCTTCACAAGATGAGGAGCTTGCTGCCATAGCAGTGGGGATGCCAATTTTATAAACAGGTATAGAGGAACTACTGGAAAAAAAGTTCCCTAATGGATATGAAAAGGAGGAGATTGGGCTATTCCCTCTGATATCACTGGGGTTGCTGGGAGACTACTAGCAGACTGCAGAAGTAGCCAAGTTCTGTGCTCCCCACAAACAGCAGTTCCCTTTGCCTCTGTCAGAGACAGACTGCTGAGCCAGACAGACTACTGCTTAAGCAGCTGGGTAAGAATTTTACAGCTGATTCATGTTTGGCTGATGAGATAAATCCAAGGTTTTGCTGAGGCACCTTCTTTGCTCTTTGAATTTAGAACAAATTCACATGTGGATTTGTATGCTAAATTGTGAAATAAATAGGACTGGAAGGACATCCCACCATCTTGCTACCACAAAGTAGCTCTACCTATGTAATTCTTGAACAATGCTAGTCTAAGCCATGCTCTCCAATGAAGGGGATCTTACATCCTCCTCATTGCCTCATGCTGCCTGCTTCAGTGCTTCAGTGCATCAGGAAACTGAGCGTTACGAGGTTTTTCCCTAATACCTAACTTGGATCTTCCTGGTTGCAACTGCCAACTTTTACTGCTGTTCTACCCACACACAGCAAGTTATTCTTGCTTCTTAAAGCAGATTTTTGTGTATTCAGAGATCGCTTTGTCCTTCCTCAAGATCATAGAAATCTGTAAACTGAAAGCGTTCCAGAAAGTTGGAAAAGTAATCCCTCTTTTCCAGATATGCAATTCTTTAGTGCCATTTACTCTAGCAAACCTTACCTGAGACTTCCAGCTTTTCTGCTGCATCCCCTTTAGGCAGGGCTGCTGGCTGGGGAGGCATCTCCAGGTTAGGAATTGACTTCATTATATTGGCCTGGGCCTCTTCCAAGAGCTTTTCAAATTCCTTTCCGTTATAGTGATCAAGGTTTTGTCTTTTTTCTTCCCATTTCTTTTCAGCTTTCTAGACAAAACCAGTAAAGCATTTATTTATTTCTCTGATTCCCATTGCAATCACTTACTTAAAAAAAATCCATCTGTAAATGCTATAGATCAATATGGATATATTCTTTCAGTCCTAGTCAGCAACTAGAGGAAATATATTAACACTAATTGCACACTTGGTTCCGACTTCCATCGTGCTAGATATGGCACAGACACATGACAGAGTGACAGTAGCCACTGCTCACTAAAGGAACAAAGGCAAAATTGAAATTTGGGTCTCTGCCTTACTGTATCACACTGGTGATTAAAGTGCATTTCTGTAATAACACATTGTCATGTTCACCTGTGTGTTTTCTCAATATCTCTGTGTGAAACCACTGGAACTTCACATGCTTTCACTTTTACCTCTCCATAATAAGGGATATGGAGATTTAAAGAGTGAATGAAATCCACTGCTGCAAGTGTTGCCAGAGAATTATATGGTACTGCTCAAAACCAAGGTATTCTAAAAAAGAATTTTTTTAAAAATAAAGATAATTTAAAAAACATAGTTACTTATTTTGGATACATGTTATTTTCCTGTTGCATTTAAAATCATAGAATAGTTTGAGTTGTAAGGGACCTTTACAGGTCATCTAATCCAACCCCTCTGCAATGAGCAGGGACAAAATCAGAGGGTATCTGCAGAAGTATAGTGTAGTTAGGGGTGAAGCACATAAACCCCAGAATGCATTTGAAAAATCTGGCCTGCAGCCTCAAGAGTGAGACTGGGAGCTCAGACCCAAAGAGATGACAGCTGATTGAGTAGAATACACCGTACCTCAATTGATACAGCTCGGTTTCTGGTACTTGCACTGTGAATTTCCTCAATGAAAAGACTTTGCATGGTAGTGCCATTGACAGAGACCTGTGGTGCTGGTGTGGCTTGTGTGGGCTGGGATCCTGTTGTGGACTCTTGCAGGAGGGCTGGTGGGGTGGCTGAGAGGTGACCACCTGCTGGCACACCTTCACCATGGCTGGCTGCAGGAGGTGAACCCTGGGCATGATTGACCAGGGCTGACGAGTGCTGAGACTGATGGATGACAACAGGGGAGCTCTGCACGTGATGGACAGTCATGGTGGAGAAGGGGATAACTTCTGACTTGACAGATGACACCTGGGACTCTGATGTGATTTGTGTGAGGTTTTGCTGTGCATGTCCCTGGGCAGGCTTGTGCTCCTCTTGGTTTTTCAGAGTGTCAGCTGCAGTGGACTTTTCCATAGCAGAATATTGCATGGCTTGGGATGGATCCACACCCCTCAGAAGTCCTTCTGTAACATGTCTGCCAGACAAATTGAACACAACAGTGTGTCACATGGTTAGCATAGAGGCAAGTTGTGAGCAACCCAAAAATAAACTCTTGCAAGGAAAAAACACTTCTATCGAGACAATCAAAATGGTGGTTTTCCCTCTTCATGCTCTCAGTTGTGTGATTTTACAGCTTGCTCTCAGAGTCAGGGGTTCAGAATTTTAAAGAGGTCACTCTAATTGATTTGGATGGTTCTGCCTTTTAAAATGTTTACCAACCTTCCTTAATGTACTTTTTGACCAAACTCCGTGTTACAGTGGGTTGATGTTAGAGGGAGAATGGAAGTCAGTTGACATAAAAATTTATACACTGTATCTAGCTAAACAAGATGTTCTTGGACTATTAGCACAGAAAGGTGAAGTAACATATAATGTGAGGTAGCAGTCTGGCACATTGCCTAAACACAGCCTTTAAAGGTCTTGTCTGTCAAGAGTGTGGGGTACCATGAGCTGAGCATGTAAAGAGGCAACTATTTCTGGCAGTTAGCTGTGAAATGACTGAGCTTCAGAGAGTAGCAAGCCACTGAAAAGCCATCAGCTTTTCCATTACTGAAAAGGACTTTATGAGGCTGAATACATAATTTTGCTGCAAAAAATGACTTTGGGTAAAACACTGGCAGGCATAGCTTATTGTTTTATTTTCTTTTCCAAACAGGGAAATACAGGAAATAACTGTAGTAATTTTTAAGAAAAGGAAACTAATGTGAAAGGATATAGATGTTTATTTGCATGGAAAATTAAGTGACAGCTCCTAGAAGACCTGTTACATAAACCATTTTATCCATCTGCCAGTACTGGCAAATCTACTTCACATATGCTCCAGGAGATATGAAAACAATGACAACCCTACATTGCTTAGAATAATGGTAGTGACAATAGGCTTGTGACTTACATTTTCTTGTAATTGAAGTAAAATTGAGACCACTGACAATTTTGAGAAGGAATTAAATCCAATGCCTATTTAGTCATATAAAACAGCAGTCATTTGCTGCTCATATTATTCTGGCAAACATAGCTAAACACTGGCACTTAGTGGATACAAGTTTCATCTAATATTTCAGCTTTTGTTAATGATTCTTCCTTGCAAAGAATAGAATAAAGAATTTGCATTCATTCACAAGTGTATTGTAAACTATTTCTCTCTTTCAGAAGGTTTATGATACCTTTATCCACTTAGAACCTTTTTCTGGTTTATTTTTTACTGTTACATTTTAGGGGATGCATGTTTCAGTGTCAAAGAATATTTCTGTTAGCTTAAATTGCTGCAAATGCCTGCAGTTAATTAGCTCAGATATGGGACTCTTGCCACTCTGTATAGTTTCTCATCCAGGTACCTCCCAAACCTGGAAGTGCTGAGTTGAGAGGGATCTAGTTTCAATTGTAAGACCTCAGTGCCTGGAGCAGCTGGACAGAACAGAATCACTGCATGGAACACAGGAAAGGCTGATTGGATTTCCCATGAGAGGACTCTAGGAAGAGTCTATAAATACTGCGAGTAAGTTGAATTTCTCAACGTTGCCTGGGGAGGTCACAAACCCAAAAGCTGTTCCCACCCTGTCTGAGGAAATTCTTTAGGTTTGAAGCAAAAAAAAAAAAAAAAAAAAACCCAAGGGAAAAAGATCACCTCCTGAGCATGGTAAGGATATCGGTCATGCTGCGCACACGTTTCAACAAGCTGTCTAGCTTGTGTGGTTCTTCCTTCAGGAACCTCACGGCTTCTACCTCAATCCGGAGGATTGCACGCATTTTGTTCTGCAATGTTGGGAACTCTCCTGCAAAGACAACAACTGCAAAGCTGAAGAGGAAATTATAATAGCCTTGGGGAGTAACCGAAGATTGGCTGAATGTCAATTAGTTGAGTGTCTGCCTCTCTCCAAGGGCCAGGCAGCAAGCTCCCTAATCCCAATTTTAAATCTTTTTGGAAGTGAAAGTTAATGCCCTCAGATCAAAGGTGAAGCTGTTCTCAGCCACTGTGGTTCAAAGAAAAGAAGCAAAAGTAAAAAGTACATACCTTTCAGGGTGGCAACAGCTTCTCCTACTTGACGCAAAAGAAAGGCCCCATCTTCAACATCTTTCAGTGTAACTGTCTTGTTGGAAGCAGCAGAATCCTTCTTCAGGTCTTCAACAAATGCCTCCAGCTCACTGGCAAAAGAAAAAAAGGGGACACAAAATGTAAGCAGGACTTTCACATTACAAACAAATACGTGTAAATGAATGGAGTATAAACCAAACCAGAAACCTCAAGTGTGGCATCCTTAAATCTGACACCACAGGCTGAAAAACCAGCAGGATACCATGAGGGGAGGTGAGAATGTTGGACACTCACAGCAGAGGAACAGGTTAACCAGCCCAAGTCACTGATTTCTCCAATAGGCTGCAGATGTGCAGAGCATGTTGATCTCAGAGCAGCTGTGCTACAAAGGGCAGGCAGGGTGGGAAAACACACTGAACAGCCCCAGCCCTCTGGGGAGACAAATCCTCCAAGGGGAAAGACACACTGTACCACTACATCCAGTATAGGTTTGCACCTTGAATTTTCTCACTCATGCAGAGGAATGCCCATCAGTTAACTAACTACCCAAAAACTGGCACCAAAGGCCCCTTGATGCAAACCTCGTTGTCTGCCGGGTCCTGCCAGACAGGATACAGGATCCTGTTTCCACGAATAACCAGACTGAAACAGCAAGTGGGCATTGTGTGCAGCTCTCGCTCACGACTTGGATTTAAGAATGAGTCACTTCAGATGTTTTTTCCAACCATTGCCATTCTGTGCTTCCTCCAGCTCCATCTGGTGCTTCCTCATCACCTTTCCCGACATTTTTTTCCGTGCTTCCATACCAGACAAAATTTTGCAATCCTTCAGACACATAAAGTACCTTTTTGTTTGTGGGGGAGCCTGAGAAAACGTTGATATAGCTGGAGTTTCCACACAGATACTTAAAATCTTATCAAAAATACCCCCTGAGATGAATTATGCACAACTATATAAACACCCATGCAAACACATTACAAAGATCATCTCTTGAATATTCTAAGTGAAATCTACCTCTGTTAAGACACCAAATTTACTCACAGGAATATTCTAAGCAGGAGTTTAATTGCATGGTAGAAAACAATGCAATGGAAATCTGAACTGACAAATTGGCTACTAGTGTTAACCTAACCTTGGGCCTCATTTCTTGCATCCAGTCAGGATGTAGTTTCACAACTGCAGTTAAGAGAACCAAGGTAGAGGATGATTGCCTGAAAAAGGGGTAGGAGCAGCCTGTGTATGCAACTGCAAATCTTGTCTTTCCTCATATTGCCCTTGCACCAGCACTGCCACACAAAACCAGCCATTTCCTAAACACATCTCAGTGAACAGGTGACACAGGGAGGAAAAGAGAGGAGAAGGTGGCCAGTAAAGGGATTAAAAGAAGAAAATCCCTTACAGGACTACTCTATGTATAGGCCAATTAAAATTAGAAGCACAGTCACACAGCACAATACATGGCAACTCATTAATGCTTCAGAACAGAACTAACAGCAATACTATCAAGATCTGAACATTAAGCTCACACAGCAAAGAGTTCATTTCAATCCAAAGACTAAGAACCGTAGAAACTACAACATAATTTTGAATTAAGAATCACAAGTTGCTTCTGAACAGATCACAGACAAGTGGAGGTATATAATCTTGTTCCCATTTTAAGACTGCATCTCCCAAAGACTCTTCCTTGAGAAAGCTGGGGAAAACCTGATTCCCACCAGCACAGACTTGCAGGAAAAAAATCCATGGGGCCACACGATGGCAGCAGGGGAACGTTTCTCAGGGCATTTTACCCAGCTGAGGCTGCAATAAGGCAGATATCTGCTGTGTCTGGGTCTGTCCTTTGCAATAAAGGGCACAGACACAGTCTAGGAAGGAGCTGGAAAAAGAATTTGACTTCTTGTCACTCACTACAATGCCAAAGCTCCTTCTCTGCAGAACAGTGCTTTACAGTCATGCATTCTCCCTAGTTTTAATGCCCTGATACCATCACTTGGGCTAGGCAGTGCTGCTTTTGGAATCATGGGGCATCCCTTCTCCCTTTTGTAGATCAGCACTAGAAAAGCAGCTTCCCGGATACACACATCCACCAGACAAAAATGAAATTAAAACATTACATATGTATAAGAAGGAAAGAAGCTTAAATTTGTTTATGTATGGAAAGAAGAGAAAGGAATACACAAAACAATATTACAATGTTTTGGTAGGTTAATCCTTGTTGGAAATGTAGGGATAAAAGAAAGACTCCCAGGTAGCTGAAAATGGCTTGTTTTTCCCTTTATTCTTTGAGCAGAAGTGGAAAGGTCATCATAAACCCCTTTGATTCTGTACAGTGATACTATCAAACAAGACAACTGATCCTGCAATTACTCAAGGGATACCATATTACACTGCTCCATGTTGCTAACTGTATGGGAAACGAAACTTCATCCCCCAGGACCCAATGTCTGAAACAGATCCAGCAGTCTTCAGCATTTCTTTTCTGTAACTGGGTTTTTAGATTGGCCTGAGCAAATTAACAAGACACACATTAATGCAGTTTCAGAAGGCTAATACGAGATAAATGATTTCTCTGCATCTATGTTCTACACAGGGGAGCCAAGGCAAACTCTTGTGCTGAGATCTTTCTTTAGGCAAAAAAGCATCAGAGGATCTACCTCAGACTGCAGCATCACTAGAATAAGTTACAAAACAAACTGACAAAATGAATAGTAACAAATCACTCAGACCAGGTGGTATTCTCCCTTGGAGTTCAATAGCAACTGAAGGTTGAAACAGTTGAACTATTAATGCTAAGCATCTAACTTCTTGATTAAAATTGCTTTGGCACCAGATTACTGAAAAGGGTCATGGATGATACGAATAAATTTTTTAAAACAGTGTGGGTCTATCCAGGGATCTGTACTCTGGTGAGACTGACATTTACACCAGTGTAACTGATCGATAGCAAAATAAAGAATAAACAATAAAGAATTAATGGAACAATGGATAAATATGCTGTGTTAGGGAGGAATTAATGTGCTTTGTGTAAAAAGAAGGTAAGTCTCACAAATCCACAAAGAAATCACAAAAGCATGGGGCAAGCTATAGCCCAAAAAGCTTACAGCAAGATATTTGAGGAAAAGCTTTCAAGAATGCAAAGTTGCCATGGGACAAGAGTGGAAATTTTCTCATGGTTAAAGTACTGGAAGTAAAAAGAAAGGATCAACGAACAACTTACTCAATGAATGTACTTTGCTGGTGGGTTTCACAGGGATCACTGCTAGGGCTGATGCTTTCAACATATTGTAAATAATTTAGAAAAGAGGATGAATAGTATAACAACAAACCAAAAAAATCTCAGAAGGTTATTATATTATTCAAGGAAATGAAAATGCAAGGTTACTGCAGAGGACTGCAGGTGGATGATAATAACTGATCAGGAAAACACCAAAGGTTAAAATAACTCCTAATAAATGTAATGTAATGCCCATGAGGACAGGAGAAATAAAGCCAAAACCAACCCTGCCTAAAACTAATAACCTGTCCAAACCCTAAGGTTTTATACAGTGTAATGAACTTTGAACAGATAATCATCCATTGTGAGTGGGATGTTGGATTTTTAACACAAAGCTCATTTGGAACATGAGGACAGGGAGGTCACACCACACCACTGCACAAAGTCATGCTGTGCCTGCATCTGACAAAACTGCTGCAGGACTCTCCTGTCTCCCCATCTCCATCTCACAGTTGTATACTAGAGCTAGAAAGGACATAGAGAAAGGCAACAGATGAACAAAATACATTGAAAGGCTTCTATAAGAGGAATAACTAAACAGACTAGGCCTTTTCAGGTGGGAAAAGCCATGAGTGGGGATAAGGGAGTGGAAAGGGAGTGGGAGAGTGTCTATAACATCATGACCAGCATGGGCAGGGTGAATATTCTGCTGTGCATGATTTAAGAGTTTGGGGACTGGATGCCAGATGAAAGATTCAAAAACAAACAGAAGAAGTTCTTTCTATCCAAATAAGAATTAGTCTGCAGAATTCACTGTACCTAGATGTTGTACACAACAGAGTTTACATAAATTTAAAAAAAATTAGAAGTCCATGAAAAGTAAACAATCCATGCAGAGCTTATGCATCAGAAGATACCATCTCTGACTTGGAAAAGCACAGAGTCATAGATTTGTTAGGGTTTGAAGGGACATCTGGATATCATCTAGTCTAACCCCTTTGCCAAGGCAGGGTCACCTAGAGCGGATGAGCTACAAGTCATTAAAAGCAAAGAGATGCACTCTGAGCACTTTGATGTGTTCTTATATTCTTTCCCAAGTATCTGCTACTAGTAGCTTTCTGAGATTGCTAAGAGAAGTTTTGTTCTCATTGAGCATGGCTATTTTCCTAAAAAAGTATAAATTCTAACTTACTATGGATTATATTGAAACGGACAGATTGGATGTGGCTATAGTTTAAATACTGTGTTTATAAACCCCTTCTATTAAAGTACTTAAAATAATCTCCAACATATAGTAGTCATACCTGTAACATGCTTCTCACAACATAAATACTTCATTAGTCAATGTGTCATAGCATCATAGTTTGTCCTTACTCTAGTGAATTTTAAGCCTAGTGTCTACAAGTGTTATATATGATATCTCTAATGTTGAATCAAAAAAATAGACAGAAAAAACCCACAGTGAATTCTGAGTGTGTATTTCACTGTTACAAGTGTGCATAAACACAACATTTAACAGATTTCACTAGATATCTCTGAACTCTAATCCTGCTACAGGTTTGTCACACATGGGCACTTTTTGTAGGCACCATCATGAATAGCTGCTCAATAGAAAACTTGCCCTGAAATGTACACCAACATTTCTGCTGTTTACAACATGAAACTGCCAATATCTTTATTTCCTTATTTCACAGAATCAGAGAATGGATAAGGTTGGAAGGGACCACAGTGGGTTATCTGGTCCAACCTCCCTGCTCAAGCAATAGTCTTCAGAATTGCAGAAAAGAGAACTTTTTGAGATGAGATTTACCACCTTAGACCAGTAAATACACTTTTGTAGGTATTACAGGAATCCTTAAGCTCCAGTGTCTCACATGAAGCTGTGTCTTGATTTAGTCCTATGATTTAGGAAGGGTCAAGAGGGCAACAGTCAAAATACTAAGAAATGACAATTTTTTGCCATGTTGCTTGTTTATACTTGTTTATACATCTACACTGGGATCAGCTTGATTTTAAGTGCCTACATAGAATATTAACCTTCTTCTCAATACTGCCAGTAACATTTGATGTGTACTTTTGTGCTGAATGCTCTTCATTATTAACAACCATCAGCTATTGAAATCAAAGCATTGTTGTCAGATGTCCTTCTCTTTTGGGCTCTGATCCTGCAAACAAGTAAATACATGACAAAGGATGTACTGGACAAACCTGATAAAAAATTATTGTTTGTTTCTAGCATGTCTCCAAAAGGGGTGAACTAATTTTGGAATGATTTACAATATTTTCCTGTAACTTTGAAAAATGAAGTAGCACAGAAGCAGCAGAAACTCTGTGCTCAGGAAAAATTTCAAAACCTGTTAAAACAGAACCATATTGCAATCAAAGTCATATCCTAAATGAACAGCTGTAACAGTGAATGCCACTGGCACTTGACCTCACTCAGTATCCATTTTATGAGGCAATACAATAAACAGCCATCACACAAATTGTTCTTTCCACAGAGAACAAACAATCCAGGAACTAGGCAATGAGGTACACAGGGATAAAGTGAGGAACAGCAGGGTAATTACTTAAGACTACAACACAATGTTATTTAAGACTACAAACCAGCTGAGAGGATTATATACGCTAGCATGGACTGTTACTGCATATTCAACTTTTCTTCACAGAAAACACACTCTCCCTTAGTAATACTCCACCTTGCCCTTACAGATGCACCTTTTTTATTACAAATTGTATTAATCTGACAACACATTTATCAACAGGAAAGATTTACTCTCCTTAGCTGTCAATAACTGTACTCTACAGCTCTTCAATCATAATTTCCAAGCTGACTTGAATTGACAAGCTGACTTGAAGGTTTTTCTCTATTATGGAGCAATTCTTCAGGTGTGAAATAAATACAGTAATGAGAAACAATTAGTTATATAACACCTTACAAAATGTGAGTGTTAGAACAAGTTAAATTGTTTATTGATTTCAGCTTTATCTTCCCACCTGCTGACTCTAAACATGGACTAAAACAAACAACTTGATCCCACCAGTTTTGGTAGGCCAAAGTTTGGGGGGAGGAGGGGAAGAGTCTTACAAAGGGCCTTTACACAATAACAAAAAAAAGAAAAGTATTTTTATCTGCAGTTAAGTGTATGGAAATCCCAGGGAGTACATTTTAGACAAAGACTGGCATTGCTGACTGCAATTAAACTTCAGTCCTCTATTTATGAGCTTCCCCTACCTCTCCCATGAAATAGCCAAAGCACTTACTATTGAAATCTGATTTTCGTACTTAAAGCCAAACTCATTACCTTCCTTTGCATCCATTTGTTCTTGATGAAATTCCTCCCTCCTCCCCTGAATCATAATACATAAAACTAAAGGGGAAAGCTAGGGTAGGGGAAGAATTTCAGAATACAAAAGCAGTCATGGTCCTTACAGTCATCAGTCCCTTTACAGTGGACTTCTGAAGAGCTTGAAACTCTTTGTACTGGGGGGACTTACCCAATGGGCTGTGCTAAGAAGGACTCCCAGTCAAGACCAGTAAATTGTACAACACAGACACAGTTTTACAGCCAATATGAAACCCAGCAAGGAAAACCAGCAAAACCAGAATACCCAGATGCAGTTTCACTGAAGGCAGTGGTGAAAACTACTACTTTCTGGAATAAAAAGCCAGGCAAAAGCAATAAATTCGAAGGGATTTCTCAACCCACCATAACTTCTTTACAATCAGCAATAAATTCGAAGGGATTTCTCAACCCACCATAATTTCTTCACAATTTTTTCTTCCTCGTTGAGGTATTTCTGCCTTTCTTGTTCCACCAGGTTGCGCTGTCGCTGCACAGGATCTTCAAGCCTCTTCACTGTTTCAATCATTTTGCCATTGATTTCCAGCTCTGCTTTCTTCACCATTGCCCTCAGCATCTCCTGGTTCTGCAGCTTCGAAGGGATTTCTCAACCCACCATAATTTCTTCACAATTTTTTCTTCCTCGTTGAGGTATTTCTGCCTTTCTTGTTCCACCAGGTTGCGCTGTCGCTGCACAGGATCTTCAAGCCTCTTCACTGTTTCAATCATTTTGCCATTGATTTCCAGCTCTGCTTTCTTCACCATTGCCCTCAGCATCTCCTGGTTCTGCAGCTGTTGCACAAAAGAAATCAACTTCAATTTTTCCTGCTTGACTGACATCCCAGGCAACACAATACATTGTAGACCTCAGAAACAGGTTGGGATAAACACAGAGAGAGAGTACTTTTATCTTCTTCTTTCCCTCTTTACCTATAAACATTATTCCATGTATTTCGTGTACATATCTAACTTCCAACACAAGCTGATGAACAAAAGATGTTTGATCAGTACATCACCTGCAGTGCACAGATTCTGCAAGGATTGTGGCCCCTTTATTCTGCTCAGTTCAACATGAATCAAGAATTAATTACACCTCACAAGAATGCCAGAAGCTTGACTTTTGCTTTGAGTGTATCTCGTAAGCTTACGCATCACACTGCCCATACGTGCCTAGTGGATAATCCCACACATTAATGCCACAGCTGGAACACACTGCTGATTCCAGAATGGAAATTTTCAGACTCTCAAGTGGCAGAAGAAGGACTGTGCCATCCAGTGTAATTTGGTACAGACGTACAGCTCACCTGCAACATATAAACCCTCCCTTACCCTCTACGTGCCATCCAGTGTAATTTGGTACAGACATACAGCTCACCTGCAATATATAAACCCTCCCTTGCCCTCTAAATAAAACCCTTTATAATATGGTAATTTTCTGAGAACTGCAAAAGTCATACTTACTTTCTTGTCTCAGCCTCATGTTAAGTAACTAAAGCATTAATTTTCTTGCTGGTAATAAGTTTGCAGAGCAAAACACAGTTAAGAAAGCAAACTAGACTGTACTTTTGTGTGGGTAGCTGTAGAGCAGCTATGCCCCATGCTCACACAAATCAAACCTGTTGAAGTATCTTACACAAATCACAAAATTCAGGAATCCACCTAGTCACAGCATTAGGATAAGGCAACATGAACACAACACTGTTATCCCAGAATCCACCTCATACTGTAAGATTTTAAAAAACACCTGTCAGTTGGGGGAGAAAAGTCCAGTTTTAAAACTAGCACTTGAACTGTCAGAAGTCTTCCAAACATCCAGGCTTAACAGCCAAACCACATTTAACACACCAAGTAAAACCATGACCTAATAGGAAGAATCACAAAACATGTGTTACCTACAAGATAGCATGATGCAGTCAGACTTCTTTTTAAGTTGATTTAAAAGAATGAATGAGAATCAGAGGAAAAAAAAGCCTTTGCTGAGATGGTTCTTTCCAACCAGTATGGGAATGAAAGAAACAAACTCAGCTCTCCCCTGCTGACTCTTCAGTCCCTGTGCCTAACTTCTCTCTCCAGCAACACAACTGTGATGAGAGGGAGGGTAACACCTCACTGCAAGAGCTCAGGGTGTCTGAGCTGTGACAAGCAGGAGGTGTTAGCTCAAAACATATAAGTATTAGCAGTTAGGGAAAAAATGAAGCTGAAAAACATTTGAAACAGCATAGATAAAAAATTACAGATTATTTTGAAGATAGTGCATGTGTGTATTTTTCCCCATTATGGGATTAATATCTGGATTTGATAAATTAAAACCCCTTACTGAAAGGCCAGCACAAACTAGGACACACACCTTTTTCATTGTGTCATGTTTTCAAGTAGGAAAACAAATGAATGAATAAATGAGTGAATGAGCATGTTACACTTCAGTCATACAGTTTATTCACAGCTCTTTAAAAAGTGAGGAAATTTGACACAGGGAAGTGAAGCAGATTTGAGGTCAGTGAAAAGGTCAGTAACAGAGTTAGACTTAAGTCTCATGTGTCCAGAATTTAAGTCCTCAATGTTCCTCAGCTGGTAACAGTGACTTCCAGTAATAGCAAAACTGAGTATGTGTGTGTGAGGTTGTGAAGTGACAGACATCCATTTTTTCCTATTATGGGGGTATGTAGAGGATCTAGATTTATTGCAGTGACTCCTACAGCTAAGGTGCTTGTCACCTCCATTTATGAAGTGCTTGAACAGTATTAGGAAGTTTCAGTCATAAAAGTTCATCCATTCCTGATAATGAAATTAGGAAATAAAAGATATTACACAGTGATATTTCAAAAAGCTTGTATGTTGAGGACTCTCAAACCTCAGTGTTTGGAATGAGCTCTTGAAGTCTGGGTATCAAAGAGATGTTTTTGCCATTTCTATGAAAATTCATGCAACACTTGGCTAGTTACGGAAAACCTGGGGAACAAGGACAGAAGACAAGAAGGGAGAGGTACAGATGGATGCAGAGAGAGAAAAGAAGGAACCAGGACAAAGGAGCAATCACAGCCGACACCAGCCAAAGAACAGGATGAGGCAGGGTGAGCAGGAACAGAGGGGAAGAGCTGTGACTGATGAGGAGAAGGCAACCTCTGGTCATTACAGCACATTTACCTCCATGTTCTGGAACTGAACTTGATTCTTACCTTTCTTCTGCCAGCAGGTATCAGATCTGAGACTCCCTGGCTAAGTTAGTCTGTCCCTGTCCCTCTGACCATCTCTGCCATCTACTCCACCACCTACCTCATGCAGAAGAAGCCTTATGGATCTGCCAGAGTTAGTCTGTTTCCACACAGTATAACTTTTTGTACTTTAAGCTTGGTTGAAAACAAGCCAAATAAACAATCTTAGACGTTCATACTTGAAACTAAACTTCGTTAAAACAGTACTCAAGTTCCAAAGGTAAGTACCCAAAGGTAAGGAAAAGCAAGGCAGGCTTTCCTGTCACTACCAAATGGCAATTCCTTGCTAATCAGAGTTAACTTCACTTATAACTGCAAGCAGCAATCCAGCAGAAAGAAATTCAACATACTTTTTTAGAATTCTAGCAACCTCTCCTACATTCATTACCCTTGGCTCTCACTCCCAGCCTCACTAATCTCTCCACATACCTACCCTGTCCCTCTTCTTCAGTTACTGCTCCAGCCATTATTAATCACTGCTGTCTCACAAGTGCCCCAGCACTGCCTCTGGCACCCACTTCAAGAATAATCTCATAACCAGTTCTGAGACAGGTAACTGGAAAACCAAGTATTAGTTCATGGCCCTTCCCCTCAATAGGAGATAACCATGACCTGTCCAGTGGGAGCCTCCAAGACCCTGGAGCAAGAGGCTTCTGGGCCACCCACCTCCCCAAGAACTACAGTGCTCAGCCACAAACAGGAACTGACTGCCTGGAGCTCAGGACCTCTGTAGAACCTAAGTATCTTGTTCCTGAACTTTGTTACCATACATTGATTAAAATCAGGCTCTCCAGTTCTATAATGCAGCTCAACATATATCTGAATTTCTATCTCAAATTCACACTTGTGAGACTATCATATACCATTTATGACAGCATTGTTATTACATTTTCTGTCCTTTCTGCAGTGCCCATTTCCCTGCAAACAATACACTGACTGAAGGAAAAGCATGCATGCATGTATTTTCCTAATGCTGAACCTTAATCATATCTAACTGTGTTCCCTTAAAATGTGTTCAATTGAAGAAAGAAGTAGACAAAAAAAACCCCACTGCACATATAACCTGCTGATATATACCATGAACATGTACTCTAAGGCTTGGTCCAAGCCTGCTACTAAGAGTTCTTATTATCTGAATGAACAACCCCAGTAAACTCATCATGGGCTCCATTCTTACAAGCAACAAATCCATTCAGTAAACAGGCTGGGTTACAGCCTCTCTCTGGCCATGAGGAAAACTCCAAAGCACCATGAGCTAGTCTTTCTTAAATATCCCTAAAAATCAGACTGCTTAAGGAAGATGCTAGTGGAGTAACATGAAGTGTATCTAACCTCTAGCAAAAATCGTGAGACAAATGTCTTTATGTCAAGAATCTCTGTTTAAAATCCAACCAGAGACTGAGTCTTAACTTTTTTGTTGCATCTGGTGACATATATATTAAACTGGTGTGTGAATCAATCAATACATCTGGATCAATTACTGCTGGATATGGTTTAAAAAGAGGATTTTGCCAGCACAAAGGTTACATGAATCAACATGTCTTTTCCATCATGTGTTTCTCTGATTCTATTAAGAAAATAAGTAGGAACATACAAAGATAACATCAATTGAAAACTGAACAATAGGCAGTATTAAATATAGTTTTATGTCCTGTTCCTGTTTCTTAGTTATCCTGACAACTTTCGTGCCTGTGTAATTGTCTCTTTCAGTTTTTTGGAAGTATTTCTTCTAGTCTGTCACTGTATGAAAAATTCACACAAACAGGAACAAACTGGCTGCCAACCCAGGAGAAAGCAAAAAATATGAAGTACTGTCAAACATTCTGTGCAAACAATCTGGGAAAACAGAAAAATACTTTGTCTCTTTTACTTACAGTTATTTTCCAAAAAACATATCACCGAATTTTTCATTAGAAATGTGATATTTCAACATTCTTCAGTTTAAAACACTACCTGTTTCACTTGCTGCTGTACAAACTGTGAGCTCTTTTTCAAAATAATTCAGGAAAGCCATGACAAAAACTCGCTCTCATTAATGTAATTTACGTGCAACATGCCGAAGTTTCCCTTGAGCTACAGGTTCTTCCATCTGACTATCACAAATTTCCTGACTTCCTACTGGCTCAATGCAGCATTTGCTATAATTTCTGAATTAAGGGAAGCCAGCCAGAGTTAATGAGCACACTCGGGATATGTCCTTTTTCCCATCTCAAGACTTGCTTGGCAGCACTGATTTGTGCAGATGGTAGAAGTTTCTTCACTCCTGTGTGCCATTTTACTGTATGTGATCAAAAGCAAGGCTTCTGCCCTGGGCAAGGCCATGGAGACAAAGCACAGCTGGGGAAATGCCACCCTCTCAGTGAACAGGCCCTGTGAGACTGATGTGCTCACTGCCCCCAGCACGGCACTGCAGCTTCCATCCCACTTCATGAGGCCACATGCTAAGCACAGCTGGTGGCCAGACCACAGGCATTTGCCAAGAGCTGCATTTGGCACATGGGGCTGCAGTAGGACAGAGGGGCTGCAGTGGTTTGTGGCACAAATGTGGAAGAATATGCACTTACACATAATGTGCCAGGGCAAAGATCCCAAGCCAGCGTCTTGAAATGAGATGGGGAGCGTGATGCTTGGCATGAAAGATGCATTTGCTATAGGAATATACTCATCCTAAACTGAAAAGTCAAATGCATGGGAGCTGTATCACAGGCAGAAGTCACCTGACTGACACAACTCTTTGCTCCAAACACTTTCTGCCACCTGTTCATTACCAGGAAACTGAGCACAGGACCTTGTCATGGCGTGTTCAGTTGGCCACATTTTCCTATCCTGATGTTTACCTTACCCTTTTTCTCCCTTGCCCTATGACTGGTACATGATTCAATTTCCTTTAGATAAGGAGGTGACAGCAAAAGATGCTGTGAATTCTGATCTGTATTATCATTATTTTGTTCTAAAATTAACCAGCAAATCAAACGTGATTGATATAGTGCCGTTCAAAACCACTCTGGTTGTAAAAACAGTAGCTGCAGCCTGACAATACCAAACATGTGATGTCACTTTCCAGGCAAGGAGGACTGGCAGAGTATTGAAGTTTCCCCTGCTGTCCACTTTGTCTTACAAGATAGTGCTTTACCTCCTTTTTCATCTTCTGAGACAATACACAGTGCTCTTCAGCTTCTAATTAAGTGAAGGGCTGAAGACCTGTACAGCTGCATGTGCTTATTTTCAGTGTCTGAGATGAACAGCATATATTTATATTTGCAGCATGACTGTATATGCCAACATAATATTTTTGTTAACTCTTCATTGTTCATATAGTTTCTTGCAGGTTTGGAGGTGTTCATGTGTCCTAGGAAGGTACTGCTACAATGTTAATATAAGTAGGACACAATAAACCTTTGCAGCAACTTTTGAAATATCTTTTTTCCTTATTGTTCAAGTTGGCTATTCATCTGGGTTCTGTAAAGACAAGACTCAGACTCTGGCTTAATGCATTTCTACTGATCCTCAGCTACATTTGGGTTTCCTGACATCAAAGTTTATTCAAGAACTTAAAAACTGTCTCAACTGTAAACAGTATGAAGCAGGAACATGGCTCTTCCAACATGTTTATACAGCACATAGCACAGCACATCCAAACTGTAATCACAGGCTTGATATTATTGTAATATAAATACTGCTTTAATGACTTGTCTACAGTCATCAAACAAAGCCAAAATTAATTTTTTTCTCAATATCTGAGCAACAGTAGTTTAACTGAGCTAATTCTCATACCTCGAGGACTGTGCGTGCTGTGCTAGAGCTTTGGTGTCTGTAATACTTGAGTTTGCTCTTTGCTACAACTCTGTAACTGAGAATCACTTGTGCAAAAGGTAAAAGACAGAGAGAAGAAGGAAGGAAGTGTGGGAGGAAGGAAGGAAGGAAGGAAGGAAGTGTGGGAGGAAGGAAGGAAGGAAGGAAGGAAGTGTGGGAGGAAGGAAGGAAGGAAGGAAGGAAGTGTGGGAGGAAGGAAGGAAGGAAGGAAGGAAGTGTGGGAGGAAGGAAGGAAGGAAGGAAGGAAGTGTGGGAGGAAGGAAGGAAGGAAGGAAGGAAGTGTGGGAGGAAGGAAGGAAGGAAGGAAGGAAGGAAAAAGGCATTTGCTGACAATCCACCTCTTTTTGCCCAGCATTACCCCAATATACCTGTAGCTGCTTCATCTGATGCAGCTGCAGCCGCAGATCCGACACGTTGCGTTTCATGCCATGCAGACTGACTTGCATTGATGAGGCTCCAGCAGGGTGATGGATGACAGCAGACTCCACAGTTGCCAGTGCATTCTTCCCCACAGAGATGTTAGCAGCACCTGCAATAAGCAGCAGGACAGGTTGAGTTCACAGCAGAGAAGGTGCAAACATAATCCTTCCTCTGCCCACTGAATCCATGTGTATTTCACACTGATGGACAAGAAGAGAAAATGACAGATGCCAGTGCTCAGTATTAACAGGGGACTGGTATCTCCTTATCCATTATATTTTGAGGGAAGTCTGTACAATATCAGAGTGTATCTGTCCTGAAATCTCAGATTCATCAGAGCACTGGATTACCCCAAGACTGCTTTCTACCACATGTAATAGAGATGGGATAATAAGTTATGACTGCAGGTTACACAAAACAGCATCAAATCAAATTGGTCCTGAGAGTAGCTTCAGGATTGCCCTCCCAGGAGATATCTGAGACCAAGTTGATGCAAGTTCATAGGACTCCTGAACTGTATATTTGTTGATTAATCATGCTGGAGAGAGATTCAGTCAAGCTGCCAAATGTGGGGAAAAGGTTTCTACAGAGAATTTTGCTTTGCTGCTTAAAGTACAAATGTATTATTTCTAGCAGGTGTCTCCAACAGCAACCACACAAAATCAGGAGAAGAGCAATGAACAATGGTATGGCAGAGGCTCTCCAGCCACATTGCATGCACACACTCCCCCTCAGTCTGGCAGAAAGAAACACAGCATAACACAAGAAAGTGAGCTGAGCCACACTGAAAATAACTGTCAGTGTCCTCACAAGATTTTCTTTGTTAAAGAATGCTGTTCCTCTACATAGCATCAATGTCAAGCTTGTTCTTTACAATCTCAAGCACCTGGGAAAAAGCTTAAGCAAATTCCAGATCATCAGCTAATAGTCATTTTACAGCTTCTTCTAGCAATTTGCACTTTTCTTCAAATTTGCTTTCTAATGTGTCCTTTCCCCACCACCACTGACAGCAGACAGAATGACAGATTGTCAGTTGAACACAATTTTCTGTCAAGCACTATGTAGTCCTGCATATTCTTCAGATCACCTCATCCCTCAGGCTCAGATGGCTCAGATGGCTGCCACTCCCTGAACTATTGCATGAGCTGCCCCTCACTACAAGAAGGACATTGAGGTGCTGGAGTGAGTCCAGAGAAGGGCAATGAAGCTGGTCAAGGGTTTGGAGGAGCAGCTGACGGAGCTGGGGATGTTTAGCCTGAAGGAAAGGAGGCTCAAGTGGGATACCTTATTGCTCTCTACAGCTGCATGAAAGGAGGTTGTAGTGAGGTGGGGGTTGGTCTCTTCTCCCAGGTAACAAGCAGTAGAACAAAAGGAAATGGCCTCAAGTTACACTAGGGCAGGTTTAGATTGGATATTAAGAAAGATTTCTTCAGCAAAAGGGTTGTCAAGCACTGGAACAGGCTGTCTAGGGAAGTGGTTGAGTCACCATCCCTGGAGGGATTTAAAAGATGCATAGATGTGCTTAGGGACCTGGCTTAGTGGAGGACTTGGCAGTGTTAGGTTAATGGTTGGACTTCATGATCTTGAAGGTCTTTTCCAATCTAAATAATTCTATGATTCTATTGTAGGATTAGGTCATTCCCTACTTCAATTTCTTCCTTCTCTATGAATAAAACAAAAAAAATTCTGAGGAAACAGAAAATAACTCATCAATGGATCTGCACAGGGATTTTGGTCATCATTTGTTCCCCCAAGCACACATTCTATCAAGTTCAATGAAGTCAAACAAAAACTAGTGTTGTGAGCTTTTCTTTGTCTGTTCAAGGCAAATTTTCAGTTCTCTAAAGTGCATGACACATTTTCTGGCTGGAATGAGTATGAATCCAAGAGTGGTAAGTTCAATCCTCATGCTTTCACCTCTAGTAGTCTTTTCAACCATAAAGTCTCCAAATGTGCCCAAGTACAGCTCAGCATAACAAAATACTGTTATTCCTTTGCCAGAAGGTGTGGATACCTCAAACATAGCCTTTGCAAAATTCATTTGAGGGAAGCATTCTTAAAGGATGGAAATTAAACCAGACTATTTATATTTAAAAACAGGCCAAAAGGTTTTTAAGAATCATGTTTCTTGCTTTACCTACATTTGCAATTCCTGTCAGCCAAAGCACAGGTCCCTCTGGCTGGATCTGTGCTACACAGTGTGCCATGCCATAGGCTTCCAGAGACATGCTCAAACAATAAGCTGTTCTAGCCTGGTGCAGACCCTTGTAATGCTATACCTTCCCGAAACGTGCTCCAGCTAGATCTGCTCTGTGCTTCAACAACAGCACTTTTCATTTTGCTGCTGGGCAAGCTGGTGCACATTTTTGCTATACTCCAGTATGATTCAATGCTCTCTTGACTTTCAAAGAGCTGCTTAACAGAAAGCAACACTCAAGAAATAAACAGTCCTTGTTCACTGCCATTATGTACCCACTCCATGCTTCGGTCTAATATATGCTAATACTTATCTGTCTACATGTACCCTGCAGTTTTTCCTACAGTCAAGCATCTATTTCCCTCCCACATGCACTTTTTTTTTATAAGAAAATGGTATTTAGTTCATAAACCTTACAGACAGAAACCACCAGAGAGTCTGAAAAATGTGGATAAGCCTCCAAGAGTTCTGATCCCTAGCCACAAATCTGGACTATTTTTGAAAGCACATCTACCTTTCTGCTGTTCTTTGCCTCAAGCAAAAGCTCCAAAACCTCAGCCCCCGACCCTGTGATGATGCAGCCAAGGCATGAATCAGTCCCCGCCAGCCTCTCCCCCCATGCTGGACCCCAGTCAGTTCACATATTTTCTCAGGAAGGGGTGCCTGCTTTCCTTTTAGTGTAGATGGACTGCAATCTGCTTCTGTAAGCAATAAATGTCTCCAGCTCCCTACAAAGCAGCTCTCCTCCTCTGCTGCTGCCTCAGCCACCTCTTCTCACCATTAGGTACTCTCAGCTGCTGCAGAGTGTGCTCAGAGCCTGGGAAACACGACGTGGGACTCCCAAGGATGTGACACACAAGCAGACACTGAGCGAGCAGTAAGGATCAGCAGCTGATTTCTCAGATATCTCATGCTCGTTAAAGAAAAGAATAAAAGGGCAGCTCAATGAGGGACTGCTTCATCTAGAGAGTATAGATCACTTTTGGAAACAGTCCCAGGCTGTATCTTTGTGATTAGATGTGCAGGAAAAGAAACAGCATTGGCTTTTAGGTTTTTAAATAAACCCTTGCTGGAGTTAAGTAAGGGGGCCTGAATGCAAACTCCCTCCACAATTCCCTAATACTCCGGGCAAAAAAGAAAAAAGTTAACTGCCATTTTTAGAGTGCAAAGAGAACTGATGAGCAGAAAGGGGAAAGGTTTGCCCAGGCTCAGGAAGGTAAGGAACACAACTTCTACTCCATGACACTTGACCTTTGCCATGGTTGTGAAGACACTGCTTTCCTTCTGTTCTCTAGATTTTATTTTGAAGCAGGCTGAGAAAAGAAAGGTCATCAGAAGACACCCAGCAAAGTTTCTTCAGAAATTACTCATCTTCTTCTTATAAGCCACAACATTTTCAAGCATCATTTGGGGAGACATGTAACAGTTACTCAACAGCACTAAAGCACCCTTAAATGAATAAAATATTCTTTATGTATTAGTGTGCAACTTCACCTCATTGATCCTGAATGAATTCAGGATCATATTTTGCCTGAAAACACTGACAGAGGTCATAGATTAGCATGATCTATCTTTGAATCTGAGATAAGCAAGCAGGTATGGACAAATTTTCTAATTCACAGGTCATCACAGCAAGAGCCATGTGTGTGAGAAAGGCACACAGATATGCATGGATGATAAGACAGTTCACGAAGAGTGAGGAATCAAATCCAAGCCCTATGTTCATAATACTCCTTCCTGCTGCCATCTTCCTCTCATTTTGTATTGATGGTGTTAGTGCAGAAAGTCATATTCCCTGGACCCTTTTCAGGACATACTGAAATGTCCTCCTTCCTTTTTCAACAAGGCAGCAAGTAGCAAAAAACTATTGCTTTTTTCAGTAATCCGTGCCACAACTGATCTCGATTTAATCAATGAAGACAGGATTTAGTCTATCAATCAGTCTCCACTTGATGAACAAAAATATGACAGAAAAGAGAGTATGTGACCATTTCTCAGGATATTTGTTAGAAATCTCATGGAGACTCTTCCTACTATGGTTTGGTTTTAGTCACATGCTGTTCCTAAGTGAAGAGCTCCTTGATGCCATTCTTGTATGATGAACTGAAGATCTTTATAAGGATTTGGTCATGGGATTTCTCCTTACATTAGCAGAAGAGACATAATCATTCTGTGGAAAGTTACTACTCTTTGGACCCATCTCCCATGAAAGAACTGCGATTAAAGCAACCAAACATACGCAATGCAGACATGTATTGTTATTACAGTCTCATTTTTCCCAGAAAAAAAAGATATTTTTTTTTTCTCAGGGTCCTTAATATTTGAGGACACTACATACAACAATTTGGTTTATATGACATACCAAACAGTACTCACAATCTAGCTATATAGAGTTATCTAGGGTTTAGAAATTTTGTTTTTTCCCATCCCAAGAGAGCTGGTTGTCTATTTTTTGCATGAAAGTCTCCTATCATTGGAATGCATACTATAAAATACAATGTTCGTTCAACATTGATGAGCCAATATTATCTTGCACAGATGTTTTATTGTTCAGAATGGGAAGCAATTCACGTTTTTGCTTACCAGTGCTGTAGGAAGGAGTGCTCAATCAACATTTTATACCACTTTTTCTTTCAAATACACTTCAAAATTGCTAAAGCTGGTGTCTCAGTGCACAGTTGTCAAGTGGAATTGTAAAGTAAGAGAGTCAACTGCCTAAATGGCTATACTTAATAAAGATTGGGGTGAATTGAAGAACAAAACAGAGGTCAGCAGAAGTGTTTCTAGATGCTCCTGACATACTCAAACCCAAGCATATTTACGAAAAGGAGAAACATTCTGTAGCATATTCTGGCAGATTGCCTAATTTTCAAGTAAGCAGGGACCGAAATGACTTATTAGACCATGTTATGCACAATTTCAAAAGCAGGTGCAAAAGCAAATATTCCATTACACAAGACTATTCTATTATACAGTAATTTTCAATAATAGCTGTTGTGGTTACAATACTGTAGTATATTGGGGTCAGCATGACACCTTGTTTCCTTTACCTGCTACAATTTAATTTTGTGGCTGAGTCATGCTGCAAGGACAGGATTTAGGGATGCAGGTGCTGGAGTTACAATTATATTTACAGTACTGATAGGGATCCTTGCAGACTGTTGGCTGCATGGCTGGCCTCACTGCACTATCCCTATCTCCCAAGTGATCAGAAGGGCATCTATTGCACAACCCAAATGCTGGAAACCTTACTCATATGCTGGATATGGGCATGGCCATGTGACAAAGTCAATGTCTCTGTCAGTAAGTGGCAGATGATGATCTGAGACAGTAAACTATGCTTCCCACCCTCTCCCTCCACTGCCCACCCCTCACCCCATGCTTAGACATGCAGTTGTCTAAACTATGCTTCCCACCCTCTCCCTCCACTGCCCACCCCTCACCCCGTGCTTAGACACGCAGTTGTTAGATGTAATTTTGCCAATTTAGGAACATGTGTTCAGTCATATGATATGGAGTATTTGGGAACAACAGTGGCAGGAAACAGTTGCTGATGATGAACCATGCTATTCTGCTGGGCTGGGCATGACTTCCAGAGGAACGCACACCTTCGGGTTATGTAGGACCATTTTCCCAATGGATATTATTCCATTTCTCATTTCACTGAGAGCACATTCACACATGCACACACTGAATAATTTAGATTTAAAGGGACCTCTGCAGGATATCTGATCCAAACTCCCACTCAAAGCAGGGCCCACTTAGATCAGGACCCTCAACTCAGCGTCCCTTGCAACGTATTTGTCTGAATTAGTACCACCACAGGGAAAGTGGCAAGGCTGAACAGCAATGCAGTGCAAAGAGGAACACAAGCCAATGTGTGTGCAAGTTGTGATTGTTTCACAGGTGCTTTATTTGAGATGAGGACTGTGCAAGTAGGAAATACCATAAATTCTCAGTCTATAATGACACTGCAATAGGGAAAAGTCTAAGAGCATTTTGCAGCTGTTTGAAAAATGACAGACTTTTCAGTAAATTGCCTGAAACTGAAAAATTACAACTTATTTCTTCAAAGCCTTAAGTATTGCTCTCCCCATCCAGAGGCCAGCAGGAAGGGAAGAGTTGGAACTGGATCAGAGAGTGGCTTGGGAGCAAAGCTGCAGTACCAGGACTTAAACTTTTGCTCTCTTGCATGTGCTTGATAGTTTCCAGGTCTAATTTGACATCTGTCGTTAGGAGGACATACTGCAATTCCAGATAAACAGGAATCCTGAACGTGAACTGACAGCTCCAACAGAAAGGCTAGTTAGGAGCATAATAGGTTTGCTAATAAATGTGTGTGGTTTACTATCTGCCGGAGCACAGACCTCCCTGTGGGAACAGCACTACCAGGAAGTAGGGAATTGCCTTTATTTGCATTCAGTACATGACAAAGGGCGAAGAGGAGGTATGTAAGTACACCAGCAGACTTCTCCAACAGTAACCCATACACAGAGTTCCAATCACATGGAGATCTCCTTTCACAACAGCCTTAACTCCATCTCTTAAACACTTAACAGCTCTCCAAGTGAGAAGCTAAAATGAGACCAGCTTTTCCTGGCTTCATAACTGATGCTTGCTCAGAACAGTTTAGGCACATGCTAATAATTAGTAACAGATCAATGTCGCTTAATTAGGGAAAGTGCTGTCTTGCTGACTGCTAAATTTCTTGGTGTCATTGCAACCATAGCATCCTACTGACAGAAGGACCTTAGAGAAAAGTTCAGATGACCAGAAAAGGAATTAAATATTTAGTCTTCCACAGCAATCTGGATACATCTGGGGTTAATGACAGATATATGTACTATAGATGAGACAAGTCACTGGAAAATTCACCATATGCAGAGGCTCTGCATCTCATTTAAACCACTCAGCACAGGTGTTAAATTCATTCCAAATACCATCTCAACCTGTGAGAAATTCCTCTCTTTAAGATGTGATCAACTCCCACATCCTGAACTTAAACTTCAGTTCTGACAGTACAGCTACAGCAATTTAAGTAAATGTGTCATTTCCATAAACTGGTCTAATGTTGGAACAATTCATATACCTGAATAATTTGTAAATTAAAAGTGAATTGTCTTACCTGCAGTGTCAACACTGCTTTTGCTGGACACAATTTTCAACATCATCTTCTCACTAAGGAATAAAAAGAAAAATCATAATTTTAGCTTACTAAGATTAAAACTGTAGTGAAGTTTATATTCAGCAAATAAATGGCCTTGACTAGCATATCTGTTATTAATTTAAAACACCAGTAGCTTGTCAGTTGTTTTTTTAAAAAATCACCTTTTAATATAAGTTAAGCAAGGAATGGAGTATAAGCAGTAAAAAGCACAGAGATGTAGCTACATTAATTCTTTTTAACACAAAGAAGAGTAATGCAGTTAATCTCCATCTATCATTTGGCATATTCTTCCTCTCTGCCTAGCATTCTCATGGAGATGATAAAGATATTTAACAATGAGTGAGCATTCAGGGTTTTTTTTACTGTTACATTCAAATATTATTTCTGTTGATTGATTACTAAAATCATTACAGATGAATTCTGTTTTTACCTAGAAGCATCTTTGCTATTACTTGTATTTGGCCCTTTAAAAAGCGCAGACTGAACAAGACCAGTTAAACTGGCAATCTGTTTCTCCATGGCTTGTATCCTCTCTCTGTAAGACAAGAGAACCGTTTGTTAAAGCCAGATATATTTGCTTTCAGACTTGTTTTTCTAGGTGAATGATTACCACAGGACTGGAAAGACACTACAGAGTTTGTGCAAAGGCCCATGGGTACCAGTTTGCATATACCTTATTGCAGCAGCTTACCACATCTTGGTTTGGACAGCTTTTGCATGGCAACAGACAATAAAAAAGACATCTGCTTAGTTAAAAAGAACAAAGCAAACAACCACCAGGATAATCAGCTTCTAATGATCTCACAAGACAGGCACCTAAAACAAGCTGTTAATGCCATTTGGAACTAGTGAAAAAATATTTTCTTCAGCATTACATATATTTTCTCTTTTACCTACACTGGGCCAATCGTTTTGCCTGTACATAAGGTTTCAGGATTAAAGACTTTACACTTCTTCTTGTTACTATTTTTAGTTTCCCCAAATGCAGGATTTTTGTCTGTGAAACATGTAATCTGCCCAAGCTGACTACTTTCCAGCCCAAATCCTTTTCACCTGACATCACGACTGTCTGCTTTGGAAAGGACAGAAAGGTGATAGAGAGGCACAGGACACCAAATGCAGACTGTACAGCAACATTATAATAAAACAGATTTGCTTTCATGCACATATTCCTAAAGTTCCTAATAATCAGAAGAAAAGAGATGAAGAACTATGGTATCTATGGTCAGTGTTTTCCAGAAGAACCAAAGATCACTAAACAACAGCAATGGTATTTTCTTGGGATGGAAAGGCTAACATTTGTGTATTTGTTTACATAAATGCATATATTAGTCAGGGCACTTCCTCACTGGGCTTCAAAACAGCTTTTTGCTCACACATCTGCCTACCTACACATGCCAGTACATCAATGACATACCACGACACAGGTACATATCAGTATAGGACCTTCTGAAAAGACAGCCCTATATGCCAGCAGTTAAATGTCCAGGAAGACACACAAAAGCAAATGCTAACAGCAGACTGTGGTTTTGGAAGATGAGTGGGAACAAAACTTCTCAAAAAGCAAGTAATAAAGACCAGCAGCAGTGACTGATGAAAGAAGATGGGACAGACACACTCAGACCCAGACTCAGCCTGCTGCAGGGTCCATCCATCACCACTGCAGCATCCTGGGCACCCCCAGCTCCAGCTGCTGTTTGATGGCCAAAGCAATAATGCCAATCAATAAGGGTCATATAAACTCAAATGTAGGTACCAATACCAGGCAGAAGCAAGCTGACATGATACAAAGTGAGTAACCAGCCCTGCTTGTAGCCAGATGCTTATCCAGGCTAATTATTTCATTCCCATTCAGGGAATGAATGAAGTTTGCTGGGATAGCACCCAGACACCATAGCCAGCAGAGACTATGAGACACTCAGTTTGAGGAAACAGTGCAGCAAAACAAGTACTGAGATGCTAACAGACACAAGCAGGGAAGAAGAGAGTGCTCAGTCAGTCCTCAGCCAGCAGACGTGTTCTTACTGTGATTTACTACAGTGTGTGCATCTTCATTTTCTGTCTTCATCTTAAAAGGTATTTTGAATGCTGATGAGAAGACTAGTGAATCTGATCTACTTCACTTCAAACCAAGAAATACATTACAGAATTTCCACTATTATAAGTTTTAAAATAAGGAACTGGTTCAGGCTACAGTAACCTTTGGAATGAAAACAAGTAGTAAAACACAAGGATAAATATATTCTAACAAACTTTAATGCAGCATTTTTGACACTTAATAATGAAAACACTTTTTATATTCCCAGATAATCATCACAAAACCTTCCTGGAAATAAACTCAACTGGAAGTCTATCTGTTTTACCAATTCATAAAGATGATGTTTTTTCCATCCCGCGTTTGATAATCTGGAAACAATTTTCTGCTTCAAAAAAGATTATGGCAACAAAAAGCTGATCTTGTCCTTTGCCATGAAATCTAGGAAAATATGTTGTTAAGAGGGAGAGGGATGTTCCAGAGATAGGAGATGATGAAAAACGAATGAAATACTGGAATGAATTGCACAGAGCACATTATTTTTCATATGGTAAAAGCATTAAGAATGTGAAGAATCTATATGTGCTCTGGAGTTGCTCTGTCAGAAACAAGGCAGGAGGCACCTTTTAGGCATTAAACGAAACAACCTGATTTTAGGAGGTTGGGCAGTCCAACCAAAGGCAGTGGGAGGCAGCATGCTCCAGCATGGGCACAGAAGGATGCAGATGGCCTGGTGGTGGGGACATGACCCCAGCTGATGTGGCTGGAGGACTGGTGGCCCAGTCCTCTTGCCAGCCACGCAGCCCCCGAGGAGCAGGGAGGGGGTCTGCAGTCCATCCCTTCCCCCTGGCTTTCCTGTGAAGGGCTACAGCAGCCTTGGAGCTGAGAGGGAAAAAATGAATGTTTTCCTCAGCCTGTGCTGGGCCAGAGTCCATCAGGGATGCCCCCACTGCCATGACAATTGCATATTTTTGGTTCTCCTCATTGTATTTTCTTCCTCTCACTGTGCTCCCTGCTGTGGAGGAGGAAAGTGGGGGAAGAGCACGCCCTGGCAGCCCTCCCTGCACAGGGCAGGCCAAGGTCCCATGGATGGGGCAGGACAGGATCCCCACAGCATGGGGCAGACCAGGGTTGCCAGGGCACAGGGCAGAGTGTCACTCCAATGGCACAGGACAGACCAAGGTTTCCAGGGCATGGGACAGACATGGGGCAGGCCAGAGCCCCTGTGGGTAGGGCAGGCCAGGATGTGGAGCACTAGGAGAGAGGGTCACGCAGAACAAAACACAGTGGTGCCCCTTGCCCAGCACTGGTAGTGTGAGAAGACCCAACCCCGTCTCTGTTCCCAGATTAATTTCCCAGATAAAGCTGCATCTCTCCACCACCCAGGAAGCACAGGGAGGGTCCCTCCTACAGCAGTTGGGAAAGAAATGGCTATTTTATCAGCCTGAGCACAGAAAGGCATTGTTTCACATTGTTCTCCTGTGAATGCTGGGAGAGTCAGAGGTGGCAGCATGGTAGGGGAGGAAAGGAGGGGACAAGGTCAGAAGTGACACCCAGCTCAGCAGGCCTCTCTGTCAGGTTTGGTTTTTGCTTCTTATAAACCCTGGCCAGCAAGGCAGGCACTCAGCAGCTCTGTTCTCCCCAGCAGCCTGATCCACAGCTCTAGCCCTGGGTATGTCCAGGTACCAGGGCCCTGCCCTAGCATCTTGCTCCCAAATTCAGCAGAAGAAATGCAAGCCCTTGCTTCTCTGGGGACCATGCACTGAGACATTAGATTTTATCACCAGATTTCTTCCTTAGAGCTTCACTGAGGTTTCGTGTCATTCCTTCTACTGCAATTAACTGGAAGTAATGCCAAGCAGGGTACAGCATATTGCTGAATTGGTATCCACTTGTCACCGTAATGCTATCTAAGTGTGGTTTGTGTGTTCCTTCCCTTTCCTGGGGACATCTTTAATATTCACATCACTGAGAAGATACTTCATACAGACACAGAATAAAACTGGGCAGTGTAACTGTTCATTCATGCTCCTGTCCAACCCTAGGCTGTGCAGCACATCATCCATAACAGATGTACTCAAATACCAAGTCTGCACCATGAACTAATTGGATCACCTTCCTGGAGAAAAATTTTCAGTGACTTCATATTTTATAGTTAAACCCCAAGAGAAGTTTATATATTAATCAAAAGAGGGTAAGAGAAAGGGAAAAATAAATTTCTATATTACCCTAAGAAAGAAACATTTCATTATAGTTTATTGTTTTGGTTTTTTATTTCACTGGGAAAATAAGGAAACGGGAGTAGGTTGTCTTTCCCAATGGCTTCTCTAGAACCAAGTGAAGGTGTCACAGTCAGACTTTATCCCAAATTCTCCCCAAAACACCTGAGTAGATATCCTGGAAGGGTGGGAACCAATGACCAGCAGAACTCTTTTGTACTCTTCTCTCTTCCCATGGAAAGATACACACAAGTGACTATCTCAGTCTGCTAAGAATAAGATTAAACTCAAGCATTCAACAGCTTGAAGCTAAAGGGTAAAAAGGGGAGTTCTGAAGCACTGCCAGCTGTGATACTATTCGACAAGTCTTATCCAAGAGTCTGCATCTCATCTTCTTACAAACAGTTCCTCTAAGAGTAGGAAGCCAAAATACAGTTTACCTCTCCTCCATCCTACCTTGGTCATTTGAAAAAATCTTTTTCTGCCTGGTTATTCAACATCTTTCACAAAGGAAGATGCAACTTTGGCCCTATGAAAAGTGTCTAAGAGGGTGTATCTGCAAGTTCCCCTTAGACAATTCTCAGTGCATTGCTGATGGACTCTCCCACTGTTCATGCTTTACAGAGTATGGTAATTTTTCCTAATCCATAGAGAGATCATCCATACTTCCAACATATCAAACAATAAAGTGGTTTTGTGGTGGGAACAATAGCCAATAATCTACACATGCCCATTACACTTTGGTCTTGAACTGCAAGGCATGAGCCATGAAAGTGATCACATTTGCCACTACCATCATCTTTTCTCACCAATGAGGCATGAAAAGAAGAGGACAAGAGTTGTGTTCAGGGAGAAGATCCATAGCACACTCCTGAAATGCTTTTAGAGGAAAAATATTCCATGGCCTTATCTTGCTGTTCCAAGGATTGTATTTTAGTGAGTAGCAGCATTTATTATACACATATTCAGAACTATCAAATACCCTAGAATTTTGTAACACACATTATAAATGCAAAGAATGCAAGCTAAATCGCAGTTAATTTAATGCACTTTTTGGATAAATATCTTATTTTCCAATTTATCAACATTTTAACATCTGCTTTGCCTGTTATAACTTCCAGAATTGTCCACCATAAACTACAGAAATGAGCCATCCAAAACTATGACAGCAAATCACTGTTAAACAACTCATGCTCACTCACAAAAATTTACTCATTCTTCTAGTAAGCCTCAGATTTAAGGGATTATGACCCCTCAAAGATGAATGGCTGCAACCTGTTACAGCTTCTAATGTTTTCGTGCACATGAATACTAATGTATTTTATTTTTTAAAATCTCCATGAAGTTGTTTCTTCTCACTGTTGCAAAAGAGCTTTTTATGGAACTCTTCCAGTAAATGAGTTGCTGTGAGAATTTATTCAATGCTTTATAGCACAGAAGTAGCTACTTTGAAAATACCCAAGGTAAAACAGATACAAGAAATAATCACATGAAGCAATAAAATCCCCCTCAGTTCTGCCTTAAATAATAGGCTTGATGAGACAGGCTTCCACAATGCAAAACTAAAGTGGGAAAGTCCAAAACAAATGCTCAGAAATACTGGGTTTCATCTTTTGTAGACCCAAACCTGCTGCAGTTAACATTCCAAAGGTAATGGAACCATTTTCTTCAATAAAACCATGATGCAGTCAATGAGAGATCTTATCTGCTGTAAGTACCCAACATATACTGACAAAGCACATAGATGTCCCACTTCAGCCTTGGACTGGAAAAATTGGAGAGAATTAACAGGGGAAGAGAGGCTCAGTTTTACTTCTGATATTGTCACTATCCATTTCTGTCTTTTCTCTGACTTAAACTGGCACTGTCCTGAGGTTGTGACAGTGCTACTTCAAGGTAATTTCCACAAAGACGTGGCACAAGAGATGTTTTCTTTGCTCTCAGCACACTCCACTAGGAACTAAAGGAACAGCAGTGCTGAGATGATGGGTTTGGTGCCTGCAGGATCCTCAGTCCACTCCTGAATGATTCAGAATGGTGTGTCCCTCTTGTCACAGTGTACAAATGCAAAAGATCTCCCTCCCCAGTGCCCCCATGGCTAAGAGATCCTCAATCTGCCCACACCTGACGCCGTCTGCATGCAGGCTGACTGAACACACTGCCATGCACCTTTTGTTCCCTTGGCTTTAGGCTCTTTGCATCAGCAAGTGGATAACATGCACACCAGAGCAGCATGCACCTCATTTTACCATGCCTGGAAGAGAATGAATTCAGCCTCATCTCTTCAAGCCCAAAATATTCTTACCCATAGAAGCAAACCCAGCTGTACTGCTAATGGTTGTAAACTGTAAGACCTACACAACAAGGCACAGGATATCTTTCTGCCATTATAAACATCACCCTTCAGGTGTTCAATAACAACCTTGCAACAATTCAGCCCCTGCTGAAGCACCTCCACCTGGACACCCCCTAGTATTCCTTGTTTAGTTTACTATAATCTCAGCAGTGTTTGCTTTCAAAGTTTATGAAATTATTACAAAGCTAAATGAAGGCCTAGAGCATTTTGTGTCTATAGAGCTCAAAAGCAATTCTTAATATTGCAGTGACTAGAAAACACACCAATTTGCATGAATTGCTTTGGGTATTTACAATTATTTTTTGAGAAAGTTACACTTCCTCGAGGTTGGAAAAAACCCACAACCCATAAGTACAGCCTTCATAATGATTCTTTCAGTGCCATGTGACTAATACACACTATGCTGAATTTTAAGGTCATGTATTTATTTGGAAATGTAATTATGCAAATACTGTTTTCTTCACTGTTAACAGACTCTGGGATGAGGACTAAAACTCCTGGTGCAAAACTCCCTTTTAAGGAGCTGCAGAACTATCTGTATATAGTTGCTCTTTATAAATTCACAAACACACAGCCTTATGCATAGCTGTGTAGCTGAGTGAACAGCTGAGATGCCTGGAGTGCAGATAGAAAGCTGCACAATCTGAAAAGCTGTTGGTGTCTTCCTTTATTTTCAGCACCCTATCATGAACCTTATAAAATTTTCAATCTGAAAGCTATCTCTTGGATTAGAATTGGCAAATTTCCTTCAAATTACTTCCTAGTTGTAATAATGGAAGCTTGGAATTAAATCTAAGGTACTGTAACTTTCTCTTGGAAACAGAGAGACAAAAATCAGATTTCACTGACCCTAGATGGTAATGTGCCCTAACTCATACTCTTATGTCAAGATAACTACCAGACTATAAGCCTGTAACTTTTGTGGATGGCTGATTTTATTCATTTTCTTCCATTTTTAACACAACAATGGATCTCATGGCACCTTTTTTTCTTCTGGCCAAGCATGGTAAGGGGTGACTAATTGTTGAGCAAGTTGCCCAGATAGAAGGGAAGTCTGAGAGCTATGTGAAGCTCCATATCTTCCCAGTGGTTAAAGGCAGTCAGCAGTTACCTTTGGCCTCTGTGAGCTCAGCATTTTCCAGCTATTCATCTTCACTTCCCTAAAGAGCTCTATAAATGTTAACAGCACAAACAATACACTAGGGATTAACACAACTCATATAAATACACAGAAACTGCCTGGCAGTGTAACTTCTCTCCTAGGGCAGGGTCTATGGCAGAAGAAGCCTTCACAGACCTTTGTGTAAATCTGGTCCTTAAAAAGACAGGAGAGATCACTGTCATCATTATCAGCACACAAAAGTTAACAATAGTCAGACCACCAACTATTTGTGATGCTGGAAAAATCATTGGGAACAGTACTTGTGTTTCAATTTCTTCCCTGGGACAGACTTGCTCTTCTCAGCAGTTTCCCCTCAAGGAACATTATTGTAAACAACTGTCCTATTTTTATGCAAATTCATGTTTTACAGCAGATAAGACAGTAATGATAAATTCTTCCCATTTCCTAACACTAGATGAGAAAAACTTCACTCCATAAAGAACCAAAATTGTAATATCGGAGTGTCATCCTTAACAGGGGTGAAATATATTCCCTTATTAGTGGGAACAGAACATCATTTGTTCTTGTAACATGATCTAGCTGTCTGGAAAGAAAAATCCTAGTTAATCATTTTATTTTATTATATTTTTTCCAATGACTGAAATTTACACAAATGAAAATAACTAGGGATTCATCATGGGTTGACAATACTTTCAAATTAATAATGGGTGGTGTTGCATCTCCTCTAAATTACTAACTACCTTGACAGACAGATAATAAACACTGCAGCCTCCTGCACATTACATTGTCCCCTGGGTATTAAATGACAGAGGATGTGCAGATTAGGAACGTTTGTTGTTCGCATAAATTAAGACCCAGCTCTGCCTTACCTTGTCTCCTTGTCTTTGGGCATCACAGGTGACCCATAGCCAAAAGCCTGCTTGTCCACTGGAGAGGGCATTACCTCGGCCATGCCTGGGAGGCCGATCGCGCTCCGTGCTTTTGCATCCACAAACACAGGCAGTCCTGGCTCCTTTTTGAAGGACTGGCGGCTGGGGGAGGACCTGTCAGGCTGGATGGTGTGGGAGGGAATGTGAGTGCCATGGTGAGGATGAATATCAATCATTCTCATGTCAGCCACCCTGTGGGGTGAGGCAGGAGGTGTTTTAGAGCCGAGGGTGGGCAAATGGCTCTCCGCGTACTTTCGTGACTTTTGTCTGTACAAGGACTGCTCCAGCATTTCAGGCTGCATAGAGGGGTTGCAGTAAGTGCTTGACGACCTCATGGCACCGCGATGGTAGGCTACAATGTGATCAGGGACATCGAGGGGGTGTCCGGAGTGGGGTGCAGCCACACTCATCCTCCCCTCGTGGAACAAGTAAGGGTCACCGTACAGACCTTCATTTCGGATCAGGGTTAGGTTTTTGTTACTCATGTCCTCATCTGGCTTGACGTCCCGTCTCTCCAGTATGGCGCTGGGGCTGGGCGATATGGAGCGCGAGGCTGGCACGCTGGACAGCCGGTCCCTGGGGATGGTGGCATTGCCAGGCACACCCATGGGCCGGCCATAGGGAATCCTGGACGGAGAGGGAGGCATGGAGTGGGGCACCGGGGTGGAGGGCGGAGAGCTGGGCATCGCGTGCAGAGGGTGCGTGGCAGATCCGGGGCGGGAAGCGCTTGGGCCATCTCGTCCTGTATAAGCAATTTCCCTCTGCATCTAGAAAGAAAAGGAAAAAGATATAAGATATAAAATTACCGAATGAGCGAAACATGATGTGGGTTGTCTACAGAAGAAAAGGAAATGAAATCAAACCCTCAAGACAAAATAATTCGTCATCGGCGTAAATTAAATACTTTGGGACCTCAGTGCCTAAAGAAAATAACTACTATAAACAGCAATAAAATGGGCTGCCTGTTAAAGGAATATGAGAGTTTTAAAAATGCTTTTACTTATGTAAATATCATCTTATCCTAATCTGATATTCACAGCTACTGAAGCTGAAATCAGGGTTTCAGTGCCAGGTGTTCCAAGTATATGTAGCCAATGACAGAATTATACAGTTTATTGATCAGATACACAGCCTAGAGTTCACTGATTCCAAAGGAGGAAGAAAGTGCTGATGCTCTGGCATCACAAACACCTGAAGTCCTTAGACAAGAAAAATAAATATTGATAAATGGCCAACAAATTGGGCATTTGCTTCAGTACAGGATTTAGCCTTTTGCTAATAACTTGATGTGGTCTTCATTACACAAAGCACAGGAGATCAACACATACATATTGACTGTAACATAGTCAAGTTGCATGAAAACAGTGCTTTGGATGGTTTGTGGAGCACAAGCTCAGAAAGTCAGCAAACATTTTATCATAGTTTTGTAAGCAGCAGCAGCAGTAGCTGCCAGCAGTAAGGGATGAGCAAGCAAGGAAAAGAAAGGGAAAACTTCCATACCAACATACTAGTGATTTGTTAGAAAGGCCATGGCAATAGATACATGTGCTTTTGAGACTATAAAATCTCACTCTGCCCAGCAATGACCTCTTTATATAGCTGAACACTGTCAACGACAGACGTAAGAGAAATTCTCCCTCTAGCAAGCATCATGTGCCTGCTCTGGTGCTGTTAGGATAAGGTGGATAAAAAGGGAGATGAAAAAATCAGCAGGGTCACCAATTACGGTTTCTAAAATTTGTGTTTGCAATTTCAGCTTCCCTCTCCATCACTTCCAAGAGATTGTAGAAAACTGCGCATCACCAAGACCAACTCCAAATTCCTATACGCTAACGTATAGTGGATTTTGCGGATCTGAAGTCTACACTATTTTTCTCCCCTCTCACTCCTTGGTTTGAAAATGTGATGGGATTCATTGCACTTACAGTGATCCATGGCAGATGAAGCAAGAAATTATTTCTGACCCACCACAGGTTTTTCCACTGGTAAGGGAATTGCAGTGTCAGTATATAAACAATAGCTGTTCTTATCACAGCAGGGTCTGCACTTGGGAATTACAAATGACATTCCCCAGGGCCAGAGATCAACAATTTGGAGTATCAGGTATCAGAAAGAAGAAAGGAGATAACCTGATTGTGGCAGCAATAATAATAAATAAGCTCAATAGAACAAAGGAGCACATTGGGATGGGTCATAAATGAGCCAGACAAAAGTTATCAAGCCAAATGGGAACATGGAATAATTTTTTCATTTGCACAGAGAATTATTCTAGTCTGAAATTTAAAAGAAATATAACTAAACAGTATTAATCACATTATACATGGGCATTCAACATAACTTGCTATTGGCTTGAAGAAACGCTGCAACAGACTGAGCTGTATTGTGTGTTTGGACTCTGGACCTGGGCCAGCAGAACAAAAAGACTCCTATTGACTTGAGCAGCTCATACCTCCAGGGTTAGGCAGCCACAGAGTTTTAACACTGAGAGAAGAGCCTGGAGAAAGAAAATCCTCCTTGATTTCTACTGTACAAGCTACACCATGCCTTGTTTAGTTGCTTCAGCTACAACAAATGCAATAATATCTGGCACAGAAACCACAGACACTAGGATATACTGGGTTGCAGATAGAGGAAAATTCCAATGCTACCTGGAAGGGAGGAGAAAATTTCCATGGGAAGATTTGAAAGCAACAGGTTTAATTTCCCTAACGTCTGGACTTCATATTCCTGTATATTCTCATTCATTTCGCCTAAGTCAAAACAATCTGTCAAAGAACAAATCCTATTTTCCACCTTTACATACTGCCATACTTTAAGATGGAAATTAATTCAAATATGGGGCTCAGCTATTGCTCAAAATCTTGTGTTTGAGTTTGTTCTAAAATAGCACTTGGCGTCCACAGTCTCAAAGAACACCCCTTTGGGCTGGGCTGGGCACAAACGTGTGAGCAGGCAACCCCTTTCTGAAAAGTTCACTTTCTATTTTAAGCCATGACTCAGGTTATGGGTGGAGTGTGCTGAAGGGGAGAGTCATTGGAGACAGAGAGTCCAGGGTGCCCAGGGCAGGTGCACCAGGGCATGTGGGCTGGGCAGGGACCTGAGCTGGTCACTGGCAGCCAGGCAGCCTTACTGAATGGATTACAGTGTCTTCTGCCAACTGGTTGGTATTTCCTCTCTTTTTACCTTTCTCTCATCTCTAAAATCTCCAGATTCTTTGCTAATGGCAAGTTAAAAAACGTGAATGATGATTTCGTCTTGCTTTTCATCTATACATCTTTTGTGAGATAGCCTAGGAACACTAACTCATATATACACCACTTTCTGTGCTGCTTTTCTTCTGTCCTGCACCACAACCCCCCCATGTTGCTCAATAAAACCCCATACTCTAATAGAGGGGCTGTCTTGAACCACATGTTCCTGGACTTTGCATGACTCAGGGCCAGAGAAAGAGGATATTGGGCTTATCAGAGCCTCTAAATACTAGGTGCTATCACAGCCATTTGCTTTGTGGGCAAAAGGAAAAAGACGTTTTAGTGCAAGCACAGGATCATGTGCTTTCCAACTGCAGACATGTAATCCATTTGCCTAAGGGTGTGGTTTTCTTTAGCACGCAGCTCTTCCTTGTTCTTACTGCCTGTAGACCTTACATCCTTGAAATGGAAACTTGTCAATCCTTAGATTAAAATATGCAAAGAGCTAGCGACAATTTCTGTATAAACATTTTGGGGGAAAATGCATCACTGAGAACATTTCACTTTCTGTAGTAAAAAAGATCACACCATGTTTAAACATCTCCTGTGGAGGTTTTTGGTCAGCCTAACAACACTTAAGTCTATAAGATACAGATTTTTAAATTTTTTTTTTTTAAACAGAGTCTCTGTATACTGAAGAGTCAACATTATATAAACAGTTATGCTCTTTATTTCAAAACCTGTTGGCACACTCTGTAACTTGCTATGTTTTGAATATGTCTATATGCACAAAGGGAGCAAACTACTTATCCATGCACCCAAATGGATACAGAGTCTTGCTCCTGGTAGGTCACAATAAGGGCAAGCACAGCAAATCTCTTCACATGCAGCAGGCAGGGCACGTGGAGCTGTGCCTGCACGCACACCACGGCGATGCCAGGTAGCACTAGGCACTAAGCCTACTCTTGATTCATCAGCAGCACACCAACTCTTCATCTCACCATGCAGATGGATACCAGAGGTACAGTCTGACTCATGCCATTATCTGCTAACACCTCACAGTGAAACACAGGCAAAGGGAAAATTAGGCCAGAGTTTCTGACCTGGCAGCCTTTCCCATTGCTCTCCCAGGCTTCCTCTACATCAATAGAGAACACAGCAACTGGCTCTGCCCCAAGGATTTCAGACTGCCAAAATACGTACATGGAGCATGTTCCCTACATGGAGCTTATCCATGCACCCTCTCAGAGACACCCAGGAGTTCCCAACAGACTCTGTTAATCACCTCTCAGGCATGTGAAGCTATTACTTTTCTTACTCTCCCTTTGACACCCTGAGTTTCCTGAGGAAACTGCACCTCAGGCTGGCTCACCCAACTGTAAACAGAGGACACCTGCAAAGAATTTTATTGAGATCTTGTAGAGTCTTTGATGATAAAGCTACAGAAACTCTAAGTACTGATACAATACTGATAAATTAATCTGTTTGAAAAGAGACCTTTTATGGAAATTGCTCAACAGAAGAAAATTCTTTAAAAAGTGAGGCAATCCTTCACTTTTTTAATGAGGGAAGTCTTAATTAAAGAACTCCCAAACTAATAACAATACAATCCATTCATTTATTCTTTCTTCATAAAAATAAATTGACAGCTTTACTGGGCTAGCTGTCAAAAACCTCAGCTTAACCATTAGTTGCACTACATGATAACACTTCTGTCATGACTGAGCTTTCATTCAGGTTGGATTTGGACAACTGAAAGCAGAAATCCACTTTGGAAAAAACCCAGTTTTATGTGGTTTAAATATTTCTAAAATAATATCATTTACAGTAAGAAATAGTGCACTTGAAAAGTGCAGAATTGGTAAACAGTTAAAATGAAAATTTTAAGTACGTATACCACAACTATCTGTCTGAAGCCAAATCCTTATGCTATCAGACATCACTGAGAGTCTGTCATACTTGTCCTTGCCTTCTCACATAATACCTTCTAATTCCTATAAGTTTCCCCATTCTATTGAGTCATTGCAGAAAAAAAACATGCTGGCTGCACTTGTGGGGTCCTCTAGCTGCCCACTGCCATATTTGAAAACTGCAAACACATTAGCATAATTTTTAGTTTTTTCTGGTCAGAAACTTTCCAAGGAAACATACTTTCAGCAGACAACCCTAATCCAAAAGAGCTGAAACGTTTGGTAAAAGCATTAGGAAAGAAAAAAGTTGGGAAAAAAACACCCTGCAGATTTCAGTCAAACAATGATGTTATTTCTTATCAGACATCCCTGGAGTGCTCTCAAGCCTTGGCTTTCCCAGTTCATAGACCTGGGGCAACTCAACCAGCGTCTGATCTGGGGACCCTAGCTCTTCCATGGTCTCTTCAGAGTGACCCTGGAGTGACCAAGTAGTAAGACATGACATGAGGTTCAATATCCCCCACTCCTCATCAGTGCTTCCAGACTAGGAGTTTACTTGGCAATTTTAGCAAAGAATGGGCCTCCTGATGACCAAAAGAGAGAGTTCAGACCATGAAAGAGCTGACCTAGACTAAATTGGAGACCTGGCCTCAGCTGAGTCTGGCC